GTGTGTGTATGTATATACAGTATATATATATATATATATATATATATATATATATATATATATATATATATATATATACATATATACATACGCAAAAAACACATTATGTCACTGAAAAAGCATTCATGAAGCACACATAAACAGCATCATAAAGCACTTTTAGGCATTTGTAGCTGGGATCGTTTTACTCAAAAATGAATGTTTGGTCATTAATTACTCACCCTTGTGTCATTCCAAACATATAGGATTTTCCTTCAAGATAAAACACAAAAGCAGATTTTAAGATGAGCAGCATGAATATCCTGCTTAACTTCTCCTTTTGTGTTTCCAAAAAAAGACTGTAAGCCATAAAAGTTTAGAACAACATGATGGTGAGTAAATGATAGCTTGTTCATTTTTGGGTGAACTAACAAAACAAAAAACAAACACTAGCTTTCTATTTTTTCTATTCTACTTGTTTTTCTTTGTGTGTGTGTGTATATATATATATATATATATATATATACACACCTTGCTACGTGTACTGCGTTAGGCTAACGAGACTTGTCATTTGCACTTATATATTGTTGCTCTTTTGTTAGTTTTGACTGCTTTTATTGTCCTCATTTGTAAGTCGCTTTGGATAAAAGCATCTGCTAAATGACTAAATGTAAATGTAAATGCATTACACATAATGCAACGTCATATGACCCCTTTAATAAAATCAAATGAACACTTAAACCAATTAGATATTACCAAAACTAGCTACATTTCATGCTGCAAGATAGTTTTATTTTGTATATCAAATTTCTTAAACAAAACAAAAACGTATTTGTACCTTTATTGGTTTAACACCAATATGACACCAAATGTATTATATATTAGCAAACCACTAAAAACATTCAGACCTCTTAAAGGAAGCACCCACCAGACCATTTGGAAACATATTGCTCTTTAATCAGACATCAATATCATTAAAATGTTAAATTATACTGCTGAAACCAGAAAATACGCTAACAGAAGCAGCGACTGCAGTCGCAGTAACAACACCACAAAAAAACATCACATTTTTCAGTCATGTATCAGTCAATAGAAAATTGCCAGAGAAACAAAAGCAAAATACTCAAACAAATAATAAATAAGCTATTGTTGTTAGGCCTGTAACAGGGTTAATTAACGGTTTATATACAGTAGAAGAAATCAGTTAGTGGTTTTCCTGAGTACAGTACAACTCAACGTCTTCAAAGTAGAAAGGAAATCCACCAGAAAGGAACAGCATACGACACACGTGTGCTTGGCATTGTTTCATTCAGTATTGTAAACACACACTCTCACACACTCTATAGGCTATAGAAAATAAAGCGAATGATAAAACTCATTCCTAATTCCAGTTGACTTGGTCTATAAAGATAAGGCAAGATGATCTTACACATTATTGAGCCAACTTTACACCGTCAGCACAGTCACAGGGACAAAACTAGTGCAGTATTTCCTGTGAATGTCCTCAAAAATGGTAGAAACTCCAAAACAAATAGCTGATTGTGAGGTGTCATTGTCTATAAAAACATAACTGCTGTGCTGATGAGCGAGAAAAGCTATTTCTAAGCAGCTAGAACATTCAATTATTTTGTTCACAGTTTTTTACGATCTTAAAAAAGTCATTTATTTATAACACCAATCCAACAAAAATACTACATTCATGTCTTGTTTCGATGGCGTCACAATAAGTAATAAAAGTCAATCAAGTCATGCATCAATCAAGTTTGATTTGTCGAATGTCAAAAGTCGTATACAATGTCATTTAGAATGTCAGGTTGAGAGGACCGTTGTTCCCAGAACAAATAGTTCCTGCTGTAATAACACAAGCTGTGCTCTGGTTTACATTTACACAGTTTTGCAGCAGGATCATATGACAGCAGCAGCCACAGCACAACAGGAAACCAGAGCTGTCCGAATTCAACTTCAGTATGCACTCATGCAATCAGAACACTCCAATCACAACCATAGGTATTTATCAAGCCCCGCCCACCCAGAGCTCATTAATAAATGTAATAATACAGAATGTGCCAGAAGGGAAAGTGCTGATGGTTGTGATAATACTAATGATGAAAGATTCATTATAGTTGAAACTTTATCATGAAATCATTAACATCATTACATACCACCAATAAAAAAAACAATAAAAAGCTATCATATATTCAATAAAAAACATGTAATGCTGATTTTTCCTTCGTATACATTTACGGTAAGTAAAAAGTGACAGGATTGGGCCCGTCATTCCAGTGTGGGTGCCTAAACACCCTTTGGTTTCTCTTTAGTTCTATCTTGATCTCTTTTTTTCTGCTTTAGCCTCTTCAAGTACTCAATACTACTCACCATTTTGTCCTACAACTGTTCCACTAATACATCAGCATGCCTTTTGACACTATGTGACCATATGGAAAGTTTAGGAGGAGAGTTTGGAATAACTTGGCGGGGAGAATTTCCGCTTCAGATATTTGATGATGTAGAGCGGCAAACAGCTGACCAGTGTGATGACGCACACCTTCCACAAGAACACCCATGTGGTGATAAACGAAAGATCTGAAGACAAACAAAACAGATGAAGAAAATAAAACGTCAGGGTCAAAGTGTTTATATCATCAAAGCGCCTTTTTCACACGTTATGAAAAAGAAGTCTGTTAGGCTGTGGATGAAGTGGATGGGATGCACTTCACCGATGGAATGTTCTGAAAAATGAGTGATCACAGGGTTAGGGCACATTTGAATGGCTCCTTCTCATCCAGGGGCTCACACCACACGAGACTGAAACCCGAGGGAGGAGAACGGACATGTTTGTGGAGACAGGAAATGATAGTTGGTGAAACAACAGAGTGAACACAGGGAAAGACAAACCTACCCAGGAAAGCTCCTAAGGTCACGCGACCTATGCCTGAGGCACAGTCACAAAACAGAGATGGAGAGAAAGAAGAAGAAAGAGCTTAAAAATTTTAGTTACTGTACATCAGTCTAAACTAAATTTGTGTGAGAGCCTATAGAACATCTGTTACAGAGGATGTTTTCATTTTGGCCTTTTATTTAAGCTTAAGGGGAAACATTCTATATCTATAT